TTCTTCTTCTTCTTCTTCTTCTTCTTCTTCTTCTTCCTCTTCTTCTTCTTCTTTGTAAAGTTCGCGTACGGAATCCGAGCAATCCGATAATGCCACAGAAGAGCGATTCTGTTATACCGAAGGCCATTTTAAGAACACCGACTTCCTAGTTTTTCGACGGGCAGCCCTTTTACCGCAAACTTGCATTTAAATTTTCTTGCAAGAGAAAACAGAATAATAATCACTCTCACAAGTGAAAAAAAGCATGATCCGTGTAAAGAGAAAATAATTCAATAACAAAGTTATGTCACAATATATCCGAAAGAGAATTACCAGAAAAAAGAAAAAAATACCTTTATACTTTTACTTACGCAAGTTTTCTTGTTAGAAGTTCTCTGTAGTCCTCACCCAGCGCAGAATAGCATGGCACTTTGAGGTACTTACGTTTGACTCGAAACGGCACGTACCAATTTACAATGCTGTGGCAACAATCACCTTTTGATTTCAAAATAATCTTAGCATTTCTCGTGGCACGCTTTGGCAAGTTAAGTTCATGTCCACAATTGGTACGCTATTTTAAGCCGTGATGTAGCCAAAACCCTCTTCTCCCCACACCCCTGTGGAATATCAAGAAAACTTGTGCGTATAGTATTCGTTCACAACTTAAGGAGCAAATCCCAATCGCAAAGTGAAAAAAAAATTATAAAGAAGCTCAGCTGGGTCAAAATAAAAAGAACTCCTCTACCTTTCTCTTATAGAACGCTACAAAAAATAATGAAACAAAAAATTAATGCAGGCAAAACACATTTTTTTTCGTACAGTGAAGCGATTACAAGCCCTTGGTCGCATTGTGATACGCGATGTTCATTAAAGAGCATCAATATGCATAGATGGGTTCTATTGCAAGAGCAGAGTCTTTGCCACTTGGTGTGTCTCATTTGTATACTACTGCGATATTGAAAATATTTCTAAAAAGGGTTTTGTTAAAATACGTAATTTCTTGCAATGTTATGCGTGTCATTTTTGTTGTTGTTCATAAACAGTGGGCGTATGTACATTTTGGAAAATAATTTTGTGGATTTCTTAACCAGCATATGGAGACCACTAGTCTCCAGCAACAAATTAATATTTACTAATTTCCAAAGGGGTTCAGAAATTGTAACACATATATAGGGCTCTGGTCTATTGATTGATTTATTGCTTGAATATTGTAATTCCGGGTGCATCAACTGCTAAGATAATTCGTCTCGTAAGTGTAGTGTATGTTTTTATAGCGGAGGTGGCCATGATCCTGCGCTAGATAACGAGATCCGGCACCTGTACCGTCATTTTCCCCAACCAGGTATCTCCCACCAGCGGGAGCTTCACCTCAGCCATGACAACCTCTAAGCTTCCGACCGGTCTTCCGACATGTGCGGTAGTGTAGTGCGTGAGTGTAAGTTTGTGTAAGTAAGGGGTGAGGAGAGGAAAGGAAGAGGCAGGAAAGATCGCGCACAGCCCGAGACCCGTTTGTTAGGGTACTTTTCCGGCATTCCCCTGGTTTTTAACGTAGAAACCACGAAAAACTTCCGCCCAGAGCAGTGGGCCGCTAGAATACTCCTCCGACAGAACACGACCTAGCTATCTTCCGCTATCGAGACTTGAACCCCATTACCTCCAGTTCAGAAGCATTCCAGTGACATCCGTTGATGACTTCAGTCACCTAAGTAGGTTTAACGGTCGTCGAAAACACAAATTACAGTCGTCCTGTGAATTCGACTAAACAGACGCTTACCAATGCCTTGCGGGCTGCCAATGAAGGAGCCCAGAATAAATTGCAATGTATTCGTTTTAAAAATGTATATACTTAAGAACTAATGAAACATTATTACACTATGTCCATTTTGTGCAGGTTTGGGAAAACTTTTTTCAGTTTTACAGCTGTCTGTATAAATATTTTCAACATAATTGTGTGAAAAGCACGACTTTTCTCTAAAGCGATATACTAAAATTATATTGTAACTTTTTTGGGGAGGGGGCAACAAATCGGGCTTTAAAAAAACTCCAGATTTTCTACAAAGAAATTATGCATGTGAACGGTATTAAATTTCTCTATTAACATCTTAGGATTAGGAAATGTTCTTAAAATAAAAGTCACAAACCATGCAGTAACTCCTTGCCTAAATCAAGGAAGAGGAAAAAACGCGCTTGGTCGACTGTTGATCGCCAATTTGATTGCGACTCTAAAAGAAGAACTAAACAAAGAGACTTTTACCAAACATTATATACTATCGTATTTTTTTTGTGGGGGGGGGGGGGCAGGTTCATCTGTAAGAAAACTAAACGCAAGTTTCCAGAAATAAATTACGCATGGGAACATTATCTAATTACATTAATAATATTTTAGGGTTAGGAAAGGTTTCAAACGCAAGTCGGAAGCCATGAAGTAACCCTTGGCCTAAACCATGATAGAGGGACATTCAACCTGCGGTCCACTGCTAACCCTTGGCTTGCTACTGGGAGGATAGAAGAGTATTTTTTAAGTAGTTTTCTTAAGTAGCTTGCGTTAGTAGCAAAAAATACTAAAGCAAGCTGTTACTTTAGTAATTTTAAGTGGCTTGCTTTCATAGTTTTCCGAAACCTCATGTAGACAGTACTCATCTCTTGTTTTGACGTTCACGAATACAAAATGTGTTATAAATGATAAATAAATAAATAAATAAATAAATAAATAAATAAATAAATAAATAAATAAATAAATAAATAAGATAAAAAAATAAATAAAATAAATAAATAAAACATAAATATAATAAATAAATACTAAATAATATCAAATATAAATAATATAATAAAAAATAAATACAATAAATAAATAAATCAAAATAATAAATAATAAATAAATAAATAAATATAATAAATAAATAAATAAAATAAATAATAATAAATAAATAATATAAATAAATAAAATAATAATAAAATATATAATAAATAAATAAATAAATAATTAAATAAATAAATAAATAAATAAATAAATAAATTAAATATAAATAAATAATAAATAAATAAATAAATAAATAAATAAATAAAAGATATTATCTGGATATCAATAACTTGAATACCTGACAAATTTTTTATTGTATTTTCTACATAAAATGGATCTACAATCACCAGCAATCAACTTAACCAAAATGTGGTTAATTTGAATTAAAACTTATTCAACAGATGACTGAAAAGTAATGGTCTCGTAGATGGTATGCGCAATAATTAATGGAGTACTGTCGCAGGTCCAATCGGCGTTGGCGGTGGCGGCGGCGGCCGGCGGCTTCAACGACTTTTTACGCTCAGCACCCCCGCAAGCAGCCCTCGTCGCTTCAGCACCTGCAGCCTTCACGGGGGCGCGCCGGGCGTGGGCGGCGTGGGCGGCGCGGGCGGGGCGGTGGCGGCGGCGCCGGGGCGGCGGCGCGGCAGCCTGCGCCGTCGGGCGTCGGCCACTTCGGCATCTTCCCGGGTTCGGCGCGCAGCCCTTCACGCGCCTTCGGCTACAACGCGGCGGGCCACGGCTGTGGGCGGGCGCTGTGGGCGGCTGGCGCGGCGGCGGCGGACATCTGCACACGGCGGGGCGCGCGCTGAACCCGGGCTACGGCGCGGGCTGGGGGCGGGCTGCGGCTGGGGGGCGTGGGCGGGGGCGTGGGCGGTGACGGAGGCGCCCCCTTGCAGCACGGCGGAGGCGCGCACGTGTTCGCCCAGCAGCCGCAGCAGTTCGGGCAGTTCTCTGGCTTCTCGCAGAACTTCGGACCGGTGAGTGCACCCGAATCCTCCTTCCAACTCATATTGCAGCACTCGTGCATGATTGACCCTGGGCACGACTACTCATGTTAATCAGTTCCGCTTGAATTATGAATGTTTTATACCTATATCATTACGTTAAGCGACCAGACCTAAACAATTACGCCGTGGATGAATGAAAGTACGAATAAATGAATGAATAAATCAACGCATGAATGATTTTATCAAAGGGTAAATAAATGACAGTCTATGAAGCCGAAAGAATCAAATAAGCAAATGAATTATTAATTAATGTAAGAATGAATAAATGAAGTAATTCCATTATATAATGATTATTCATGAACCTGCTTTGCATAAAGTTTTACTACTTCCATTTGAATTGCTCGTTACTTGAATCCATTTAGAAACTAAATAGACAAATCACGTGACAATATTGGGCTTGTATATATTTGTTGTATTATTTGTTGTTATTTATGTACGTTTGCATAGTAGTGCACTGTCGTTGAAAGCGCTGTAGGAAAAACTACACACCATATCGTGTTGAGTAATTATTTACGCTTTTTGAACTAGTTGAAACATAAAAAGTTTTCATACTTAAAGGAATAATTTCAAAAACAGGCACATAGGTGAAACTTATTATTGTAAAAATTGTGAACTTTTATTTGAAAATCGTTATGAACGCACCAGTTTCTTTCTAAAAGTCCAATGAAAAACTGATATTTATGTGTTCAAGGTCTTTAAAAAGGAATACTTTATTTTTAATTATTTTTCCATTTAGTTACGTTGACTCGTTGATTAATTGGCTTCTTGAGAAGAGACCGGAGTCTCTTTCCTCAATTTGATCCGAGGTTTCTAGTGATTTTTCAAATCAAACAAGTCATTTCTGGACAATTCATCATTTCCTCTATTAAATGTAATTTATTTTATCTTTTGCGGTTTCAAGAGATGACTCATTTCAAATTTTCTGACATTTGCATTAAGTTTTTTTCATTGCCATTTCATCTCAATTTCCTACTATAAATGTGACTTTGGATGCATTTCACTCCATACTTTTTGTTTTGGTAGTTTTTGTTTATACACCCATAATTTGTTTTCATATTCGCATATGGGAAATACATTACATTTCTGCATTTCTTTAGTAATTTTTTTTTGCTGAAGCCAATGCTAAATACATTCATCGTCGTTATTGGCAATAAGCAAGGTTTGGATGCTGCGAGAAAAGGTGTTAAATAAGCAAGGTGACGATATCGGAACAAAGTAATTCACTCGAGGAAACTGCTATTCCTAACCTCTTAACAGCAAGAACCCAACTGACACTTTGAGACATTAACACTTGGCGGACGACTTATGTAGCTGGCAAACAAGTACATTTTGAAGAACAATGCATCCTTACGTGATGCCCAACTGTTTTAGAACCTTCCAAAATTGTCTACTGTACGATCCTGCCTTGCCAGGGGCTCCCAGAGAAAACGAAGGGTAGTTGATCGAAGGGGGCCTCTCCAACAAAATATTCCCTCCTCCTTTAATTCGACAGAATTAATTTCTCCATGCATCAGAAATAATTTGTAGTGTTAAATTTGGATAAGAGTTAAATATATATTTTTCATTTCTTTTGAATGAAAAATAAAATCAGGGACCCAATTTAGTCGTTGCCTAAGGCAAGATTCTCCAGCTGCCTTTTTTCTGCATATCTACAGTAGTACTAAAAAAGTCATTCAGTATTTGATAATCCCATATTTTATATGGATTATACGATATTTATGATTCCATTATGATTTTTGCAAATCAAGTGGTACATTTTTGCAAATTACAACTGTGAGAAAGGTGTTGCGGTTTTCGAAGCACTACTGTACCCTGCAGCCTCTGAGCGAAGTGAAGTGCAGATGCATCCTCTGACGTGTTGGCGTGTGTCGTGTTGCAGGTGACGGCGCAGCCTACACGGACTGACGGGCCACGCGGCAGGCGACGCAAGGGCGTGTCCGGCGCGACGGCGCTGGGCGCCTGGGCCACGGGGGCGGCGTGGGCGGGCTGGGCGGGCTGGGCGGCGCGGCGCGTTGGCGGGGGGCGTGGTGGGGCTTCTACGGGGGCGCGCCGGGCTCCGCGCTCGCCTTCGGCCCCGGGGCGTGGCGTGGGCGGCCGGCGGGGGCTTCGGCGGGCCGCCTGGCTCTTCCCGGGCTTCGCGACGCCCGGCCGGCGGCGCCGTGGGCGGCTTTCGGCGGCGGCGCGCTGGGCCGGCCGCGGCGCTGCTGAGCGGCCCGGGGGCGGTGGGCGGAGGGGCGGGCGGCGGCGACCACGCCGGCTCCGCCCCACCGCCTCACGCCCAAGTCGCCGCGCGACCCCGACCGCGAGCCCCGCGTCCGACGGCGACGCCCCCGACGAAACCACTGAGCGCCACCGTCTCACTGCGGGCGGCCATTTTGGGTAGAGGCCTCTCTGCGCGGCCATGTTGTCTGAGGTGTCAAAAACTGTAGAGCATGTGTTCCGAAAAGTCTTGCACGCTGAGCCGGATTTGTATTTCCGGATTTGTATTTATACTCGGAATGACATATTTATTGGGCCTACCATTATGAAAAGACATGGATGAACTACTGCGCAGCCTATCACGTTTCATTCAATGAACTTCTGCTGCAGGTTGCGTCTCGATATTAGTGAATTGCGCCATATATCAACAATTATCACCATCTTACAATTCATTGAAACAAATATGTGAATGGGTGATAATCAGAACGTTGTAAGTCACCTTTTATAAATTCAGAAAAGGTGTTTATTTAAGTCAATATTACTGTAAACTCGTAGTGCTTTGTTTCATCATTAAAACCGCGGCATTCCAATTCTTAATTAAAACCACAAAAATACATTGCCACTGACATAAAGCCTAAAATAAACAAATTTTTCTCTGAACTTATAAAATTTCACTTTAGCGCTTTAGTGTACACCCATTCATAAAAAGTATTTTCTTAAATTTTTCTTAAATATTGCATATTTTAATTCAACTAAACCTTTATCGTGTAAGTCTTTTTTTTTTGTTAGTCCAATAACACGACTAGCTGGGCCCCGCTGAAAACTTAATACAACTTTCAAAATGTTCAACATTGATCGCTTTCGATCTAGCATTACCGCCATCGTCTGGCTTTTAAAACGAAGTTCCCGTGTTGTGGTCACGTGTTTCGTGACGTATCTGGTGCTGCGCAAAACAAGCTAAACTCGGTAAGGCGCATCAACTCACCCGTGTCATTTCATCAATGTCTCTCCTAATATTAATCAATGAGCACAACCACTCTCTTATCGAAAAAGCGTGAATAGAAAATGAACCCTAAGCTCTCCAATTTCAAACATGATATTAAAATATTTTTGCGTATAAACGATATTTGAAAATGTTTTGTTTAAAAACATTGTTGGGAACCCTGTCCAGCAAGAATCTTAAGCGCATACTCAGTCTGCTTCTCTATTAATCCACTCATGCTGTATGGTAACGTTCGAAATATCAACAATGAAAAACTCGGTAAGCCACAGTATTCGAAATATAAGACTAGCTACCTTAATTTTCATCACGGGAAAGATCATTTGTAGATATCTATTCATTTATATAGTTTCAAATGGATTTTTCACTGCTCTCCCCAACTTATAACTTTAAAATAATATTTAACATTAATTTATTATTTGTTAGTAATTAATTTATTACGTATTATTGAATAATCGTGAATAGAAAATAAACCTTAACCTCTCCAATTTAAAACATAATATTAAAATATTTTTGCACATAAACGATATTTGAAAACGGTTTTTTTAAAAGCATTATCATTCATGTAATAGTTTGGCATTTATTTAAGATTGTTACTGATTTTTGACTGAACACATTCGTGACAATCTTCTAAAAGACAAATATCTCAACGTAATGGATCGATGAAGAAAATTATATCACGTTAAAAAATTAATACTTTGAGAAATCCTGCTCTATAAGTTTCATGTGTACCCTTGACAAATGTTTCTTATTTTCCCTAATTAACCTGTCTATTACTGATATGGATTAATTTGCATTAAATTGGGATAAGAAACATTGTGAAATTAGCTATAACCAAAAATACTGTTTATGCAGTTCTGTTCTTCCTATAGTAAAAATGAAAAAAATGATTTCTTGATTATATAAAAAGATTATAGTTTCATTATATCAACATCCTTTTGTTATGAATAACAATAAGTATATTTTCGAACAATTCTTTCTGCAAAATCGACCAAATCAAATACTTTAACAATTTCCAATGTATCTTCTCTTTGTGCTGGAAGACGCGGTTTTTTGCATACTTGTACAAAATAAGTGTTTATTGTGGGATTATATTTGATCTACGGTAAACATGGAATTATGCTTACAAAAATACTTTGTGATGTGTTCTGCTTATTCGTCAATTCAGCTTTCGCCAGTTACTCAAACCCACATAATTGGGATTTTTGTTCCACACGCAATATGAATTTTTAGGAAAGAGTTTTAATATTATAAGAAATTAGCACCATAATATATTTTTATAATAATAACTGAAAATTATTATTAATTT